TGAATTCACTAACCGTTAGCCTATTGCATCAAGTATCAATTAAACGGGACAATGACCTTTTAAAGGTTCAATAAAACCATATGGCCCAAAAGAAAGGCCAAACGGTGGGAAATCAGTAAATTAAAATGTTTAGTTGGATGTAACTACAGATTATACTGTATACCCCCACTTCACACAATGTTAACCTAATTTGAGTTAGAGGAGGAACAACAGATGGACATGTTGGCAGAGAGGGCGCCACACAGTCGACTTGAGCGGATAACTATGTAGAAAACATTTATTATGACTTCGTGTATTTCTGACTCATGGTCTTTCCCGTTAGCTATACAGTATGTAAAATCAGCCAAGCGTTTCCAACCACACAGTTTTAAAATATTTACACATTGACGTGTTTTCTCATACAGCGTTCTCCCGTATATATTGATAAATGTAGAAATAAACACTGGTGAATGGCCTGGGGTAAAATAATAAATAATGCGACTGCGATGCAAATTCTTGGCGACTGATTTCATTTGCGACGAACTGGCAATAACTGAAATCGGTGCAACTACGTTCCCCATATTTGGAACAAGGGTATGATCTCTGTTCAATCAGCGATATGTTTTACAACTTGCTAGTCATTGATCGGCATCTGTTCACCGCAGATACGGCGAGATGTTTGCAACTGGTTGAGACCGATCGGTGATTAGTCTGCGAATCTTCGATGAGTTGTTGAAACTGTCGATCGATCACTGATTTAAACATACTGCTGATACAGTATAAAAGATGTTTTTCTAAAACAAATAATGTCCTTGCAAGTTGTCGAGATGCTAACAGCAGGAGGATTGAAGTTGCTCCGTCTGCAGAGAATAAATGTTATGTTGCCTTAACGGACCACACATAGGAATGGAAATAATTCATGTGAACTTTCTGAGTACTTATGACAAAAATGATAATAATAATATTAATTCGAGGTTCTTATATAACGCTTAATCACTACCTAGTTCGTAGGTCGTCTCAAAGCGGTTCACCAATTATTATCGGTGGTTATAGGGCCTTTGCGACCAGCCAACAGCTTTCTCAACTCTCCGGGGAGCATGCAGCCGGTGCTGCCATTTCGGATCTCACAGCTAGCATTCAACAATTCTAGCACTGCCCAACCACGTACGCATTTACAGCTGAGTAGACTGGAACAAGCCGAGTAAAGTATCTTGCTCAAAGATACAACACGATGCCGTGTCGTGACTCGAACCCGCAACACTTCAGTCACGAGCCCGGCGTCCTACCACTAGACTACCGCGCCTCCTGATGATAGTTGTAATGCATGGACATGTCTTTTTATAGACAATGATATGTTGCAAAACCAACGGCAAATAATCGACGCACGCTTTGAAACCATTTTGCAACCGATCGACAACAAGTCATCGATGAAGCGTCAATCGATCACCGCATCGTCACTGATCAATCTCCCATAGGTCGCCACTAGTTTGCAAAGAGTCAACACCGTTTTGTAGACAAACCGATCGCCGCACAGATGAATCAAATCAGCGATTAAAATAACACCAGTTGGAGACCCCTAGGAGACCCATGAAACCTCTGAAGGAGGTAGCCAGTCTTTTGTGTATGTTCAAAATACTTGTTTGGACCAAATGGGTTATACAACCGCTCTGAAACCTTGTAGCAACCTCAGTGAAATCCTTCAGAGACCTATGATACCTCTTTGCGATGGTTGCAAATTTTGGTCGCCAGGAGATTGCATCGCGGTCCCATTGTCTATGTGACTGAAATATTTTGCTGGGCTGTTTGGTGGGTGGGGAAGGAAATTCTACAAGTTGGACTCTTCTCCTTTTAAAATCACAGATCAAATCCATTTCACTGTCAAACGACGATAAATACGTTTTAAGAAATAACCAATATACCATGTTATAAAAGTTTTCCCAAATTTGATATGACAACGAGGACAACAACAACAACAAAATAATGATATGCATAAAGGTCATGAATTTCTTCCTTAGCGAGATATCAGATCCTGTCGTAGGTTTAGTCAGTAAATTATGTAACCAAACTCGTGTTATAAAAACATGTGTAGATTGTGATAAAAACGTTGCGCTTTTGTTTTTTTAGGTTTTTTTTGTATTGGTTTGCGTTTGATAGAATAAATTTTGGATATTTCCTGTACGGATATGTCATTTTGAAATTGATTTCCATTTCCGCTGTTTTCTTTCAAAGTTTACTGAAGTGATGCGTTTCAAAATTCCTAGCATAATACGTTCCCCTTACATTACAATTGTTTCATGATTGCCTTATGTTACAGGTTACCTTTGTAAACTGTGGAAACTGATTACCAGTCAAAATTAATGGAACATTAGTTACCATTATCAGTCAAATGTTTAAGGAACATTACTCATAATTATCAGTCAAAAAATTAAGAAACAATCGTTATCATTACCAGTCAAATATTTAAGGACCATACATTATTATTTTTAGTCAAATATTTAAGGAACATTACTTATCATTACCAGTCAAATATTTAAGGAATTTTTTATTTGAAAACTTAACACACTACCCTTACTTTACGGTATTCTATCGGTTGTCAGCAATCTTTTGCAAAGCTTTACAACCGAATACAGACTGCTTTTCCTAGGTAAAATTGAGGAATACCTTCCCAATTTCAATTAAAATACTGCTATGTTCCCCCAAATCATATAGAGACAAGCTGGTGTAATACCTAAGTAGAGGAGACACACTGAATGTGGAGGAACACTTGTGGTGTAATATCTAAGTAGAGGAGACATACTGAATGTGGAGGAGCACTTGTGGTGTAATATCTAAGTAGAGAAGACACACTGAATGTGGAGGAACGCTTGTGGTGTAATATCTAAGTAGACAAGACACACTGAATGTGGAGGAACTCTTGTGGTGTAATATCTAAGTAGAGTAGACAGACTGAATGTGGAGGAACACTTGTTGTGTAATATCTAAGTAGAGGAGACATACTCAATGTGGAGTAACACTTGTGGTGTAATATCTAAGACGAGAAGTCATACTGAATATGGAGGAACACTTGTGGTGAAATATCTAAGTAGAGGAGACATACTCAATGTGGAGGAATACTTGTGGTGTAATATCTAAGTAGACAAGACACACTGAATGTGGAGGAACTCTTGTGGTGTAATATCTAAGTAGAGTAGACAGACTGAATGTGGAGGAACACTTGTGGGGTAATATCTAAGTAGAGGAGACATACTCAATGTGGAGTAACACTTGTGGTGTAATATCTAAGTTGAGGAGACATACTGAATGTGGAGGAGCACTTGTGGTGTAATATCTAAGTAGACAAGACACACTGAATGTGGAGGAACACTTGTGGGGTAATATCTAAGTAGAGAAGACAGACTGAATGTGGAGGAACACTTGTGGGGTAATATCTAAGTAGAGAAGACATGCTCAATGTGGAGGAACACTTGTGGTGGAATATCTAAGTAGAGGAGACATACTGAATGTGGAGGAACCCTTGTGGTGTAATATCTAAGTAGAGAAGACAGACTGAATGTGGAGGAACACTTGTTGTGTAATATCTAAGTAGAGGAGACATACTCAATGTGGAGGAACACTTGTATACTATACATGTATAATACAGTTGATACAATGGACATGTACAAGATTATGCTTACTAGGTGTTACAGAAATACCTGCATATTTTTGAAGTTACCCCTTCCTTCCCTACCCATCCCCACATCAATGTATAGTTATTCTTTACAGTTTATTTTATACATGCAACGATATTGGCTGTATGACATGTTTTAATATCCTGTCTACTATGCATATATTTGAAACGTTTGTCGTCAAAAGAAGAGGGTAGTTATACAAACCTGTTTTCCTATCCTTTTACATTATACGTTTGTAAGATGCATTATCAATAAAATCAGACACCGAGTAAGTGAATCTGCCAGTTGTGTTCCCTGTGATTATGTACTATTAACATAAGTGTGATAAGGTTTCGATTTATTGTCTTCAAAATTTCAAATACTACACAACTCGATTGTTTATTGATGTCAGCTGATGATATGAATCAGTCATGTTTTCTTTCATGTGGACGTTGACCTGGATTGCCATACATGTGACCAGTGACTGTGTCCAGTGTCCTCCTCCCATTCTGTAATGATGTTTCCGTTTTGATGTAGTATGCTCGCTTTTCGTTCTGTAGTGCTATAAAGTAAACATTATTATCAATATGATTCTTCTCAAATTAATTGTCTGCTTCCATGGTATCCCCATTTAAACTTCGAAGAGAATAATCGATAATTACTAGCACGGATATTTCCTTTTCCACTCCAGGAATTCCCTTTCTTACCGTCATTATTCGACGAGTTATTTTTTTCATTGTTATTCAGATAAAAAAAAAAATTAATTGTGATACCATTTGAAGACCAATTTTTAAAAAGATGAAGTTTTATCTTTCATATTATGCTTTCGATCAGTTACATTGTATCTTACTATAATGTTTTTCTTTAATGTTTTTGTACTGTCGCTTACCTATATATTATTGCTTCTATATGTACCTGTGATATGGTGGCAAGGTTTTAATACCGTTGTTCTTACACGGGAAAGAGGTTTGTTTTCATAGCTTTTTTTAACCAATTTTGATTAAGGGTATCTCATGCTTAATAATTGTATTGTGAGTTGTAGATAATCCTATTTCGTCTTTGCGTATTGCAGAGTTATCTTCTCGTGAGAGCAGGTATTGATTGTTACGTCATTGTTTGTGAGAGTAACGTCATCAATTTTTGAGAAAACGACGTATTTTTTTCACACAAACCAATGACGTAACAATCAATACCTGCTCTCAATAGAAGATAACTCTGCAATACGCAAAGACGGAATACAAACCGAAGAAGAAAATGATTAAATTGTAGAATGTACTTACGCAATATGTTAAATTTGCTGCGTACTTTGGAAAAATGTGGTTTTCCTTTTTTTTCTCTTTGTTTCTTATTATTATGTAACTGCATGTTTTTCAGTTAACGACTTGCCTTGTTGCCAGATCGCCAAGGGACAATGAAGCTTACAGCTTTTACTGTGATTGTAATTGCTCTTAATATTGGTAAGTTCATTTGAATCGGTGTTTCAAAATCAGTTAATCATGTCCTAAATTTTGTATTTTCATACACTGTACTTAGAAATGTACAACGTACAGAGCAGTATATCATGTTTTGATGTAATATCATTGCGATTTAACAGCTTCAAAGTCCATTTCTTTCACAAAAGGCTGTTAGTTAATAACTGATATATATTGATTTAAAAAAAAAATATATCAAATATTGTATCTATATATTTAGTTCAATACGAAAATCCAGAATACAAGCTTTTCATTAAAATTCTTATATTTTCCGCATAAAATAATTCACATTTTCCTTCGAATTCTAGCCCTGATTTAAGCCAACACATGATATTTTTTTTCACTGCATCATTTTTGCAAATACATAATTTTATCGGTTGTGCTTCAAAACGAATTTTATCACTACCATGGAAACATAAGCAATGTACGATAAAAAAACTGACGGTATTTTAAATCTATTGCAATACCAAAATTTATTTTTACGCCGTGATTTATTTGAAAATTTTAATGCAAACATAACCACCCGCGAAAGTAACACCTTACAGATTATTTAGCTCTTGTGATGTCCTAATGTACAGTAGGAACAGTTAAAGGCCCAACGATGGCGAGAATAAGGAGGCTTATGGTCGAGATTTCTTGGTCATTGTATTTCTTAAGAGTTATCGTGGAGGTTCTTTACTGATATTTGACTTGGTTATTTGTGGGTTAAGAATTTTGACTTCGGATTAAGTCATGCTGTAATCTGTTTTTGTCTTTTAGGTTTTATTTCATCGAATTGTCCTGATGACTCATGGCTGTTGGTCACGAAAGTCTCGAGCTTGAATCAAGATTTCCCAGGTTCAAATGTTTGTATCAAAGAATTCAGAACACCAAAATCCTGGCAGGAAGCTTCGAACACGTGCAGACTATTCCACGGAAATCTTTTGCGATTTGACAAAGATTACAGCTACCGAAGTAGATATGTTTCTTTAGGAACTAAAGGTATATATATGTGCTTAGTTAACATTATATTTTATTCGTGTCAATCAATATGTACAATTTCAAAAGACATTTTATTGTGATGATTGGGAAACAAGAGCACTACTTGACTCTCAGCTTCAAATGGTTAAAGTTAGTGACTGGTTTACCCGTTGTTAGGATAATGTGACTAGGTGGAATACAGTGACTGGTTTACCCGCTGTCAGTATAATGTGACTAGGTGGAATACAGTGACTGGTTTACCCGTTGTTAGGATAATGTGACTTGGTGGAATACAGTGACTGGTTTACCCGGTGTTAGGATAATGTGACTAGGTGGAACACAGTGACTGGTTTACCCGTTGTGAGTATAATGTGACTAGGTGGAATACAGTGACTGGTTTACCCGTTGTTAGGATAATGTGACTAGGTGGAATACGGTGACTGGTTGCTAACGATACATTTAAAGTGAATGGATATCAAGCAACTTTTATGCAGTTTTGTGAATCATATAGACATTGTATACATTTGGCACATTGGTTTCAATTATATACACTGTCTCCTGCATACACACACGCATGTTCGCATACACTACACACATGGAGGCACGTCCTTAAATGACGTTAGCTGTTAATAGGACGTTAAACAAAATTAAACCAAACCAAACATATAATATAGTAAATTGTAATATGATTTCAGTTAAATAGTAAAAATCATAAGAACAAATAACTTTAAATGCAAACTTTAATTTCAATACTGAATTTGTCAATTATAGAATTTTTAATCGATTATTGGAAACGGAAAGGGCAAGTTAAACGATCACCAAGCCATCACCACAATTCAGGACAGAAATAGAGGGAATTCGACTGTCAAACCCACTTCAAAATTGATACACATCTTCCCTGAACAATATATGGCACTAGCGGCGACAACATGAAGGTTTCTGTTTACTTTTTGATTCTACAGAAGTCTGAGTGCTACAAAACTTCAACCAAACTCACATATTACCTACGTTGATGTCGATGGTCAAAGCAAAGACGGGCGAGACAGCTATTTCCGCTAAATTCTTGTTTACCTTAAAGCTGTTGACCGCCTTTTTATTTTGATACAGAGACTTGATAGTCCACATGACTGTGGTATAAACTATATTCAAAATGGTGCATATCTTATTGGTACATGTATTTGGAAAATTGGACAACTCGATCCCATGGCAAAACCACTTGTAACACTGAAACAATAATTAGTGCAGTGTCTTTTATGTCATACATATGTTGCCTGGTCGTTTGTTAATTGTCCACAGATATAAGATACATTTCTACTGATGAAGTCTTGATGACATTTCTACTGATGAAGCCTTGATGACATTTCTACTGATGAAGCCTTGATGACATTTCTACTGATGAAGCCTTGATGACCTTTCTACTGATGAAGCCTTGATGAACTTTCTACTGATGAAGCCTTGATGACATTTCTACTGATGAAGCCTTGATGACCTTTCTACTGATGAACCTGCAGTTTACGTCTTTGTCAAGGCTTGTCTGAAAACAACACCAAACGGTCTCTATTTCTCAACCTACTCATGTCCAACAACAAAGCGACATAATAATAGTATACTACATTTGATACATCGCCCTATCTAGCTAGAATATTTCACTCTAAAGCGCTTTACAGTACGTAGAAATACAATTTTTACAATCAATACAATTAGCATATACATTTATCAATACAAGTTCAAGGAATTCGCAGGAGCTGCTTTATCAGGTGCTAACTACTAATCCTATGCCACCTGGCTTATACATTTTGTATCTCCCTATGTGTGTGTGCCTGCGTGTGTGCTGGAGATGTATTGCGTTCTGTTTGTAGTGGGACCGTGTTTCTAACGGTATCATTTATAGTGCCACCTCACTTGAATGCTACAGCACAGATAACGCAACATCCTACCCAGACAACTGTATATACTCCACCTCGGTTGTTGGAGTTGTGTGGGCAGGAGAAAAACACTTTCTCTGAATATTCCATGCGTACGCCGACTCTGGGAATCGAGCCCCGGCCACCTGCGTGGAAGGCTGGAGTGTAACCACTCGACCCTTAACCAATCGTGTATAGCCCAATATCTTAACTTCTGTCCCATAATGATGTCACACCAATATGTGTACCAATGTTGAAGACTGTTTATTGTGCTGTGGCGTCGAAAGGTAGCCAAAACATGTCATTATTAATTCGCATCAAAATATTGTTTTTATCCACAATAAATCTGCGGTGGTTGTTCTTTTATATCATAATAAAGCTAGAAGACACGCGATGTTGCGTGTATCAATGTATGTCCAATACTTGTTTCAATGTAAGGCGTGTATCAATGCATGTCCAATACTTGTTTCAATGTAAGGCGTGTATCAATGCCTGTCCGATACTTGTGTCAATGTAAGGCGTGTATCAATGCATGGCCAATACTAGTGTCACTGTAAGGCGTGTATCAATGCACGTCCGATACTTGTTTCAATGCAAGGCGTGTATCAATGCCTGTCCGATACTTGTTTCAATGTAAGGCGTGTATCAATGCATGTCCAATACTAGTGTCACTGTAAGGCGTGTATCAATGCATGTCCGATACTTGTTTCAATGCAAGGCGTGTATCAATGCATGTCCGATACTTGTTTCAATGTAAGGCGTGCATCAATGCATGTCCAATACTAGTGTCACTGGAAGGCGTGTATCAATGTATGTCCGATACTTGTGTCAATGTAAGGCGTGTATCAATGCATGTCCGATACTTGTTTCAATGCAAGGCGTGTATCAATGCATGTCCGATACTTGTTTCAATGTAAGAAACGTATTTGTTTATATCTATAGAATTTTGGACTGGGATGTATGTGACCAATGACAGATTTCAGGCGCCTCTTCTTGACGGAGTTCCTCCCCAACGAGTCAACGACACATATAATAACAGGTAACTTTATCAGTCAGAAATAACAGGTATCTGTAACAGATAAATATATCAGGTATCTGTAACAGATAAATATATCAGGTATCTGTAACAGATAAATATATCAGGTATCTGTAACAGATAAATATATCAGGTATCTGTAACAGATAAATATATCAGGTATCTGTAACAGATAAATATATCAGGTATCTGTAACAGATAAATATATCAGGTATCTGTAACAGATAAATATATCAGGTATCTGTAACAGATAAATATATCAGGTATCTGTAACAGATAAATATATCAGGTATCTGTAACAGATAAATATATCAGGTATCTGTAACAGATAAATATATCAGGTATCTGTAACAGATAAATATATCAGGTATCTGTAACAGATAAATATATCAGGTATCTGTAACAGATAAATATATCAGGTATCTGTAACAGATAAATATATCAGGTATCTGTAACAGATAAATATATCAGGTATCTGTAACAGATAAATATATCAGGTATCTGTAACAGATAAATATATCAGGTATCTGTAACAGATAAATATATCAGGTATCTGTAACAGATAAATATATCAGGTATCTGTAACAGATAAATATATCAGGTATCTGTAACAGATAAATATATCAGGTATCTGTAACAGATAAATATATCAGGTATCTGTAACAGATAAATATATCAGGTATCTGTAACAGATAAATATATCAGGTATCTGTAACAGATAAATATATCAGGTATCTGTAACAGATAAATATATCAGGTATCTGTAACAGATAAATATATCAGGTATCTGTAACAGATAAATATATCAGGTATCTGTAACAGATAAATATATCAGGTATCTGTAACAGATAAATATATCAGGTATCTGTAACAGATAAATATATCAGGTATCTGTAACAGATAAATATATCAGGTATCTGTAACAGATAAATATATCAGGTATCTGTAACAGATAAATATATCAGGTATCTGTAACAGATAAATATATCAGGTATCTGTAACAGATAAATATATCAGGTATCTGTAACAGATAAATATATCAGGTATCTGTAACAGATAAATATATCAGGTATCTGTAACAGATAAATATATCAGGTATCTGTAACAGATAAATATATCAGGTATCTGTAACAGATAAATATATCAGGTATCTGTAACAGATAAATATATCAGGTATCTGTAACAGATAAATATATCAGGTATCTGTAACAGATAAATATATCAGGTATCTGTAACAGATAAATATATCAGGTATCTGTAACAGATAAATATATCAGGTATCTGTAACAGATAAATATATCAGGTATCTGTAACAGATAAATATATCAGGTATCTGTAACAGATAAATATATCAGGTATCTGTAACAGATAAATATATCAGGTATCTGTAACAGATAAATATATCAGGTATCTGTAACAGATAAATATATCAGGTATCTGTAACAGATAAATATATCAGGTATCTGTAACAGATAAATATATCAGGTATCTGTAACAGATAAATATATCAGGTATCTGTAACAGATAAATATATCAGGTATCTGTAACAGATAAATATATCAGGTATCTGTAACAGATAAATATATCAGGTATCTGTAACAGATAAATATATCAGGTATCTGTAACAGATAATTATAATAGGTAATACTATCAGATTAATATAACAGTTAATAACAACAGGTAATTTTACCAGGTAACTGTAATAAATACTTATATCAGATAAATATAACAAGTAATTTTATCAGGTAAGTATAAAAGTTGATTATATCGGTAACTAAAACAGGTAATCATAACAGATAAATATAACAGGTAATTATATCAGGTCATGATATCATGTACATAAACCAGGTAAATATGACAGGTAATTGTATCAGGTCATGATATCATGTACATAACCCAGGTAAATATAACAGGTAATTGTATCAGGTCATGATATCATGTACATAAACCAGGTAAATATAACAGGTAATCAGCTCAAGTAATTATAACAAGTAAAATATCAGGTAATTATTAGGTAACTACAAAAGGTAACTATTTTGGAAAACTGTAAAAGATAACTATAACAGTTATTGTCATGTATATTAGGTAACTAAAACGTAAACTATATCAGGTGCATGAAACAGGTATTATTTCTATAGATGAGGATACATATAATGCTAACATTATTTATGTAAGATTTGAATATAAGGTTCGGAAGTCTGACCCCAGGACTGAAAATTGGCTTGGGAAATATAATATTTGGCAGTTTTTCTATATTTGTATTAAAAACAAATAAGATTTGAAAGTTATATTTGTCATTGTCATGCCGATATATGTAGTATTATAATTTATAATATATCTGTACACGACTGTACTCAATACCAATATGAAATTAAAAACAACATCTACATTTATTATCAAAACCAATCCTCACGTTATTTGGTAGTATAACATAGTCCCGCGCATTATCAACATTCATCATTTTTCACTTGTTCATTATTGTACACTAGTTCATGATTGTACACTAGTTCATTATTGTACACAATTGTACAATAGTTCATCATTGTACACTAGTTTACCATTGTACACTAGTTCATCATTGTACACTAGTTCATCATTGTACACTAGGTCATCATTTTATACTAGTTCATTATTGTACACTAGTTCATCATTGTCCACTAGTTCTTGATTGTACACTAGTTCATAATTGTACACTAGTTCATCATTGTACACTAGTTCACCATTGTACATTAGCTCATCATTGTACACTAGTTCATTATTGTACACTAGTTCATCATTGTCCACTAGTTCTTGATTGTACACTAGTTCATAATTGTACACTAGTTCATCATTGTACACTAGTTCATTATTGTACACTAGTTCATCATTGTACACTAGTTCTTGATTGTACACTAGTTCATCATTGTACACTAGTTCATCATTGTACACTTGTTCATTATTGTACACTAGTTCATGATTGTACACTAGTTCATTTTTGTACACAATTGTACACTAGTTCATCATTGTACACTAGTTCACCATTGTACACTAGCTCATCATTGTACACTAGTTCATCATTGTACCCTTTATTGTAGTTCATCATTGTACACTAGTTCATTATTGTACACTAGTTCATTATTGTACCCTTTATTGTAGTTCATCATTGTACACTAATTCATCATTTTACACTAGTTCATCATTGTACACTAGTTCATTATTGTACACTAGTTCATTATTGTACACTA